CCTGGAGTGGTCTTCCACCTTCTTATACCCACTGCACAATTCCTAAGACCCTCCCCACTCCAGGTTGGAAGTCATAGCTTTTCTCTTAGACATGTGGCTTCCATGACCCACAACTTGCTTAGGCCTTTGCATGGATATTAAGTGTGTGTGTGTGTGTGTGAGTGTGTGTGTGAGCACCCTATCCCCGTGGCAGGCGATGAGCTCCTGGGGGGAGCACAGTCAGGCTCTAGTTCTCCCACAGGCCCTACTGCACCTCAGTATCTATGAGTATGGAGAAGCTTCCAATTAGTATTTGCTGAGTTCAACTGACCTGAGCTTTCACCTTCACAGCAAAACATCTGCTGTCTCCTTCAGCCTTCACAGCAGCCTGTCAGAGTGTGGCACCCAAGATGTTTTCTCATTGGAGCATGAAAACCAGGTCCTAGAGAGGGGAAGGGACTTGCTGAAGGTCACACACAAAGTTGAGGCAGACCTGGGCCCAGAGCCTAGGTGTCCCAGCCACCCAGCATTAGCTGCCCCCACGGCTGCTCTTGCCCTGGTGGCCACCTCTGCGTCTGGGCAGAGTAGGCAGCAGCATGTGTGGGTGTGGATGTGGGTGTGGTGGGCCCTGGGGAAATGCCAGGAGAGACCATAGGCCCAGGTAATGAAGGCTCTGTCCCCAGGGAAGGCAGGTCTGCCTCAGTGGCTGGGAGTTAATGGCTTTGCTGAAGATCACAGCTGAAGGTTAATCACATTCCTTATTCCACAGCCTGCTAGAGCCTTTGCCATTAGCATCTGTGGCGAATGGCTTCCCCACTTATGGTGCCCCCACTCCATGCCACCAGCATATTCACCAGGTCCCTGGCATCAGCTTCGGGAGGTAGTTTAACCTTGATTCCTTGCCCCCACCCCATACACACAGGAGAGAGGCTGACCCTTCCTCCCCAGTTCTAGGTCTGAAAGGATCTTTCCTGGGGGAATCATCTGGGAAACCATTCAAGGAGGGAGCTGTCCTTCCTGGCCAGGCAGACACTGTTTCTTGCTGTGTAGACTCCATTTAGACACATTAATAGCCCCTAGAGAGGACAGCCAGCATCCATTAAACACCCCTCTTCCTGGGTGGGGCAGAGGGGTCTGTCACAGGTCCTCCTTGAGTGCCTTGGTATTTGGCAGATGGTCCAGGCTGTGTGGATGCCCCGCCGGGATTCGGGAGAATGGTCGCTCTGGGACGGGCATGGTTTGGGGATAAATCCTGAAAGGCCATTCCCGGGCACCACAGAACCCAGAGCAGCTTCTCTGACCTGACCTGGTGGCCAAGGCACTGTCCCTGAGCTGCCACCAGCGCCTGCTCTCAGGAACACACCCATCACCCCTGTATTCAGGCCCCAAAATGACTGCAGCTCATCTCCCCAGGGGCAGAGGCAGACACAGCTGAGCCTCCAGCCGGGTCTGGGAGGATGGGAGAGACACTTTAGTGTGACAGGCATCAAGGCCCTGCCATGGCGGGGGAGGGGACCCACACTGTATTTCGCAATCCTGCTGTCAATAACTCCTGGAGCCGGCAGTGCATTTGTGCTGACCTTTCCGAGTGATGACTGATTCCCGCAGAGGAGCCAGAGGTGGGAGAGCCGCCACTGTTGCTAAAAGCCCCGGGCTGGGGGCAGAGGCATGGCAGCTACTTGGAGAGTCTGTGCCAATGACCCCCAGGCACCACACAGGGCTGCCTGCTAGATGTTACAGGATGACGCATCCTCCCCCTGCCCCCAACACACATAACCCAATCCCATCACTCACTCATCACCTTCTGGCCTTTGCAGATGCTTGACCTTCTCTCCTTGGAGTCCGTCCTCATTCTAGGGGGTCCACACATGTCAGGCTTGATGCCACCTCCACACTTTGGCTCAGGAGGTTTTCCCACTCAGAATAACATCCTCCCTCCCTTCAGCCCTCTAGACCTTTCTCTCAGAGGCTTCCTCTAGTCCTGCTTCCTTCAAGCAGGCTTTTCTGATCATCTGTGGGAGCGTCTCAAATAATCCCTTGTTTGGGGGCTACCATTAATGCTGTCTCATTTTGTTGTTTAAATACTAGCCATATGTGTGCCCCGGATGCTGGCTTAGTCCCCCAGATGCCCTGTTGAAGACCTGCTGTGGCTGCTGCGATGGGCTGGGACACCCATGCAGGGCAGAGAGGGGCTGGTGACAAGGACAGAGGTCACATCTAATTCGGCATCTAGAACACCACCAGCCATGGGTGGGAACACTGGTATAACTGTTGAGGAATAGTTTCCCCATGATGAATCAAGTGTCTTAAAATATGCATGTCCTTTAATTCAACAGTTCTATTTTGGGTACTTGTTCTAAGGAAATAATTTAAGATACAGAGCTATGTATCAAAGATTATTCGATGCAGTTTATTGGACAAATCAGAAGGGAGAAACCAGGATGCTTGGACATAACAGAATGTCCTGCAGCTACTACAAATGGGTAATTAATGTTACTTAGGACTCTGGATATGCTCAGGTCTTAATGGTAAATTTAAAAAAAAAGGCAAGATGTTAGGATGACAATTACATGGCAATTATATACAAAATAGGCATGGGGGAAAAAAAAATCTATCAATAGAAAGAGGGAATTCCCTGGCAATCCAGTAGTTAGGACCACAGGGGGCATGAGTTTGATCCCTGGTTGGGGAACCAAGATCCTGCAAGATTCACAGTGCATCCAAAAAAAAAAAAACCCTAGAAAGAAACATGCAATATTATGAACAGTTGTCTCTAATGTAGGAATTCAGGTTTTATTTCATCTTTCTGCTTTTCTGTATTTTTCCAAAACTGTGTGTTGCTTTCATAATCGGGACAAACTCTGTGATGGATACAGACAAGCACACAACATGATGCCTGAACATTCCTTGATTTGGGAGAAGCTGTGACCCCACCACCTACTCCCACCTTCTCCTTGCAGCTGTCCAAGCCTGGGGGACCCCCAGAGCTGCCCCTGTGGCATCAGTCCTTCCTCTTTCAAAACCAGGATGGGGCCAGCAGCTTCTCAGAGGACACAACCCTGGTCTGGAGTGCAGCTTCTCGTCTTCAAGTGAGTGACTGCCATCGCCACCTCAGGGAAGCCGCACACCGGGACACATGTCTGAAAGGGTGTTCAGACCATCCTGCCCCTGCCTCCCGTGGGGATGAGTGAAGGGGTCCCAAGAGAGCCTCCAGTGTATGCAGACAGATTGGGGAGCACACTGGGGCCTGGGGCAGGACACACGGGCCCTATTCCCATAGTAGATCCATGTGTTTATTGCACCACCACCTGCCTCCACTTGAGTCTATCAGTGACGGGAGAGGAGAGGAACCCTTAGAGCTCACAGCCTTGGAGGCAGGGAGACCGGATTCAGAGACCAGCTGATCCACAGTCAGTTCCACACCCCCAGAGCAAAGACCCCAAAGCGCAGAGCCAAAGGAGAGCTATATAAACTCCCAGAGACATGGAATATGCTTAGCATTGGCCCTGAACTCAGGAAGCCCTGAAGGGCAGAGGAGATTTGTGCAGGGAAAGTTCAGGAGGCAGGAAACTGGAGGGTGGTGAGGGATGGGAGAATTAGATGTCAGGTGCCAAAGGAGGCTTCCCTGGTGGCTCAGTGGTAAAGAATCTGCCTGCAGTACAGGAGACACAGGCGATTCGGGTTGGATCCCTGGGTCAGGAAGATGCCCTGGAGAAGGAAATGGCAACCCACTCCAGTATTCTTGCCTGGAGAATCCCATGGAAGCAAGCTGGGCAGGCTACAGTCCATAGGATCACAAAGAGTCGGACACGACTGAAGTGACTTAGCACACAGCACTGACCAAAAGAGGGGCCCCAGTGGGGTCTCAGATGCTGAGATCCAAGAAGCCTGGGCTGGGGGCTTTGGTGGGAGCCCAGTTGATCTTCCCCTACAGTGAAAGGCAGTGAACTATGGACCCTTAACATACTTCTGGGCATCTCCATGTTGCCCCTAAAGAGCCGTTTGTACCCCAAGATGCTGGTAGGGAAAGGCCTGAATGGACTGAGCATAGAGAAGCTCCCCATCACTGTGAGTGGCCCCCTGGACAGTCCATGGCTGGTCCCCCTGGCCCCACCCCTCCCCAACCTGCTCCACCTCGCCCCACCAACAGAGCAAATCTGCCTTCTCCAGCAACTTCCGGCAGGGCCTCCACCAGGGCATCTGACTACTGTCAGATGTGAGGAGTACCTCCAACACCAAAACTCAGCCTTGCCCCTGGGCAACTTGGGAGAAGCACAGGAGGCCCTGGGGGATAGCAGACTTTTAACCAGCCAGACCTGGGTTCAAATCTTGACTTGCCCTAGTCCTCACAGCAGAAGTTGGGACAATTTACTTAACCTCTCTGAATCTATAGAGCACGCATCTCTGAAATGGAAACAACATGCTGGATATGATTTCTCTGTATACCATGAAAGTCTAGAGCCAGACTGTCTGGTTCTAGTATTTACCAGCTTACATGACCATGGAAAAATTACTTGGTCTCAGAGCCTTAGTTTCCCTGTCTATAAAATGGGTTCATAATAATAGTACTTTTCTCATGTGGTTGCTATGAGTTTTGTTTTGTTTTTGAGGAAACACCTGTATAACACATAGATTAGAATAAATACTCAATAACAATGAGTTATCATCATCACTGCCTATTTCTATGCCACGTTTTTCCCTAAAAGACTATGGTCAAGGGACCTCTCTTGTTAGTCCAGTGGTTAAGACTCTGAGCTTCCAGTGCAGGGGGCCTGGGTTCAATCCCCGGTCAGAAAATCCCATATGTGGCATGGCCAAAAAATTAAACTCATAAAAAACAAAAAGGCACAATTTGGCAACCAAAAGTAATTTTAAAAAGACATCTTGGCCACCCTGACATAACAGATAGTTAGTGTTAGGTGCTCAGTCGTGTCTGACTCTGCAACCCCATGGACTGTAGTCAACCAGGCTCCCTGTCCGTGGAATCCTCCAGGCAAGAATACTGGAGTGGGTAGTCACGAACAGACCTCAACAAATTAGAGCTTCCCCACTTTGCCAGGAGGCAAGCCTGAAGGAGCCAGTCAGCTCTCCTGCAGGCTTGGGCTCAGTGGGGGTATGGAAGTAGTTAGAGTGAGCAGAGGTGGGAGCTCAGAGGTGGGAGGCCAGCTCCCGCCTCCCTTCCACCGCCTGTGCACAGCCTCCCCAGGCACTGTCCTAGGGAACCTGGGACAGTGGGCAACGGTGGCAGCAGCTGCTTGCCCTGGCCGGTGAGGCCGATGGTTCCCTTCACCTCCGCCAGGACACCAAGCTGGAAACCAGAAATAGTGAGGCCCCCACGGTGGATCTCTCCTTCCAGCTGCTTTCCTCCAACATAAGACCATGGTCAGGGAAAGCTCAGGGCCTGGCAGCCCATGTGCCAGCTCCTGTAGCCTCTCAGTGGGTTGCCGCCTCCTTCTCAATTGCTGACCTTGTTCTGGAGCTTTTGGAAGGAGGGGGCTGCTATTCCTGAGGGTGAGTTAAGGCTTGAAAAAAACAGATTAGGAAGAAAGAGTTGAGAACAGAGGGCCACTCAGACCTGGGTGTCAGCCTCTAACTCCTCCCATGCCAAGCCTGGCTCCCTGGGATTGAGATGCTACAAGAGTGAATGAACTAGGATATTTGCTTCTGTCGCTGTGTTAAAAACTACCACAAACTTAGTGGCTTAAAGCAACACTCATGTATGAGCTCACACTTCTGTAGGCAGGCAGTCCAGTACAGCAAGGCTGAAATCAGGATACAGGATTCAGGCAGAGTTCTGTTCCCATCTGGAGGATCTGAGGAAGAGAACACTTCCAGGCTCACTGAGGTTGTCATCAGAATCCAGTTCCCTGCAGCTGCAGGACTAAGGTCCCTGTTCCCTCGCTGGCTGGGCTGTCAGCCGGGGGCCTCTCAGTTCCTGAAGGCCACCCACATTCCTTCTCACAATGCCTCCTCCGTCTTTACGCCAGCCAGTCGGCACGTCAAAACCCCCTCCCACAGCAAAGCGCTCTGACTTTCTCCTCTGTCAGCAGCCAGGGAAAATGCTCTGCTTGTAAAGGGGCTCCTGTGATTCAATCAGGCTCCTGCTGATGTCCCATATTGAGGTCCATGGTGCCACATGACATAATATTAGGTGTGATAGCTCACCGTATTCACAGGTTTCAGGGCTTAGGGTGTGGAATCTTGGAGGCTCATTTTTGGAACCCTGCCCACTGCAGCTGAGTCGGCCTGAGTAGAAAACCCCCAGGGGCTGAGCCCTGTCTGATGGACGGGTTCTCTTCCTCCAGCAGCTGTACCTGAGCTCTGAGTCCAGCTTGGACCTGGGTCACTTGGCTCCAGGGCACCTGATGGGCTGGACTCTTCCCACTTTTCCCTCTGAGGTGCTGAGAGAGGCAGGAGGTTGCCATGTGGGCAGTTTAGGACCATGAACCCCAGAAATGCTTGCAGGGGGCTGATCAGCCCACTCCTGCTGGCTTTCTGGGCCAGGAGAAATAGCCACCTGTGACTTTATCTGTGAAGAACCCAGGGACTTCCTTGTGGGAGCGTCTGAGGGGGTATCTGGGAAGGTACCAGCCCCAAAGTGTCTCCCGCAAGCCCTCTGGTGAGTGCTGGAAACCTCCCATAGCACTCCCCACTGTGGAATGTTCCGCATCGCCCTCTGAGTCTCCTCCGGTTCTTGGTCACAGAGGGTGCGTTAGATACCACCTGACGTCCACCCCATCACCACCACCATCACCACCAAACCAGGGATAGATGGAGAAGTTACCGAGAGGGGAGGACACAGAAGCAACAAAAGACCCCAAGGAAGGGGAAGCAGAGTCCTTGGAGAAAAATGTCCCAGATGGAGCTCAACCCTCCAGGGCTCTTCTCAGGGTCTGGAGTCAGCTCCAGGCCACCGCCAGCCCCTTCCTCACCGGCCCCCGCCCCGCCCCACCTGCTACCCATTTACTGGAGCACAAGTGTCCTGAGGACCGAAAGGAGCATCACGTGCTGCTGGTCAGGGCACTGGGGGACCCAGGCAGGCAACAGGCAGGTGGGCAGGATGTCTCCTTCATCGCCCAGGGGCTGGGCACAAAGGTCTCAGTGATGAATTATTCACTGGAGCTGTGCTAAGTGCAGAATTAATCCCTTTCCTTCCAGCTGGCGGCCTCACTAAATTATCCCTCCAAGTCATGCGGGAAAATGCTGCCGAATTCATTTAGCTGCTGAGTGTTTTGATCTGGGCCTTGTGATTTTAGCTTCCCCTTCTCCCAGCCCCCTCCCCCTGGAGGCGGGTTAAAAAAAAAAAAACCTTTCAGTAATGGATTTCCGAGAAGAAAGGAAAAGAAAGGGGATCAAGATTGGGTGTGGACCAGAAAAACAGCACTGAAGGAAATTCAGATTCTGCAGCCAAGTGTTCATACACACACAGTTCTACACACGCTCTCACACGATCGCATTTGAAAACCCACACACAGACTACCACATTTGCAGAGACACGCACACACAAACTTACACACCTCTCTGCAAGGGTATACACATTTAATGCATACAGATACATGCCCCCCACACACACATGCAAACTGACACACACAGATGTTTTCACACCAGCACTGAACTGGCACACACAGAAGTGCAATCTTTTTGTGGTTAAACTGTTTCTTGGCGAAACTATCTGAGAATTGGCCAATAACTGATTCGCTTTGATTCTAGAATCTTGAAGTCCAATGTGGGGGCCTGAATATGAAGAGCTAACATGGATGGTTTTGGCATAAGTTTCCTGCAGGCTTGGTAACCTGATCATTCATTCTTTTATCCCACATATATTTGATGAGGACTAGAATTTCAGAGGCCTTTGTGGACTGCAATGAGAAGAGGAGGAGCCAGCAGACATGGAGCCCGCCTGCCTTGAATTCACCCTCCTCAGGCGTGGACATGGCTCTTTGCTAGTGTCTGAGCCCTTTGGTGTCCTCCTCCCTAAGGGTGGTGGAGAATGTTGATGAAGAGATCAGAGGGTATAGCAGCTGCACCTAAAGGATGCGTCCCTGGCTCCGCTCTTCACCATTGTCTTTGCTGTAACACCACTACCGCTTTCCATCCAACTGCAAGTCTTTGCTGAGCACCTGCTGTGTAACCGGTATTGTCCTGGGTTTATGAGTCTTACACTGAAAAGATGAGAAAAGGCCCTGTCTTCACAAAGCTTGTATTGTTAGAGAGCAGGGAGTGTGGACCAGACAAATGAGCAAATCAATTCATGAGCAGATATCAGCTCAGGATATGAGGCCTGATGAACCCAAATGAGGTGACATGATAGGAAGGGTTTGGATAGGCTCTTTGGATCTGATGGGTTCTCCAAGTAGGGCTACCAGCCAAGCTGCTATATCAAAGAAGACTGGGTTCCTTCCATTTTATTGGTCCACGTAAGGTGCTGTCCACCAATTTGTGGTGGGAGTCACGCAGTCTTCATCTCTGCATTCCAGCCTCTTTCCTGAGAACCTACATGTCCTGAAGGTTTGGGCACAGGCCATCCTGGTTACTTGACCTTCTGGTAAACAGTTTCCTCATAGTCACAGCTTTCATATCATCCATTTTAAGAGCTCCAGGAACAAGGACATTGTGGAACTTCCAACCAGGCAGAGACCACAGAAGTATCTCTCAGCAGCTCACCTGGACAGGAATCTCTGTGATGCTGTCCACCATGGTGGTCATCCCAGTCTCTTCTCTTTCTCTGCCAACTCTGGGAGCTCACTACCTCCAGAAGCAGCCAGTCCCATGGTTCAGTGGCTACAGCTGATAGAAGTGTTCACTCCACACTGAGCCCACCCTGCCTCCAGGGGCTCTCCCTCTGCCCCAGGCTGTTGACTCCGCCCTCTGGAGCCAGAGCGCAACCCCAGCAAGCCTCCTTCCGAGTCCTCCAGCACACTGGTGGGCAGACTAGCCAACAAAGCCTGCCATCGCAGTCAATGGCAAGAGGGAGCAGTTTCCTGGTCTGGGGTACTGTGCTTGAAGCTGGTTCTGCTGGTGACGAGTTAAACTTTTTCCCTCTGATGAAACTTCTCAATGGACATCTGATGCTTAGAGTGATTTGCCTTAAGCTGGAGTTGTGTGTGTGTGTGTGTGTGTGTGTGTGTGTGTGTGTATGAGTACATACATGTATAACTACACATAGATACAAAAAACTAGGAAAACATGGACGCCTGCATATACATGGAAAACTTCTTTTCATGGCCTATTCAGTGGAAGTTCACCTTGGAGGTCTATTCGACTCTGAGAATCCAGGAGCCAATGGCCACTCCACATATACATACATGAGTAAACCCATAGCCTCCTCCATTCCCTCTCTGATCTTGGCCTCTTCTCTTTGAAGAGTGCGATCTGGTCCCCCAGGAGTCTGGGCTTCTCTGGGCTAAGCAGTCTGCCTCTTTTAATGAACTGGTTTCTAGATCCCATAGCATCCTGGGTGCCCTCCAGCTTGCAGACAGCCTCTTTGAAGTGAGATCACTGACTGGGTTTCCTAGGCTAACTATGTGGATGGGAGCCTGGCCTGCACACAGTAGGTGCTCATTGTGTTAGGTCCTGACTCCTAGCCTGGAACTACGTCTCCCCACGAGGTGGGACAAGCCCTTGCTGTCATCTGGGTATTCTCTTGGGGCTGAGATTTGAGACCTTGACTCTTGTCCAAACAGGGTGCCAGGTTACCAGGCAAGTTAGGGCCTCTGGGTGGGTAGCTAGCCCTCATTAGCCCACAGCCCTGAGAGTCTCTGGAGGATTCAAAACCCACTGCTTCTTTGGGTTTGTCACAGATGGGGTGCATTGAAGGAGAGGAGGAGCTGGCCCCTGCTCTCCCCACTGAGGGTGGCTCCCACAGTCCCATCTGATCTGACCGTCCCCCTCCTTGTTCTCCTCAAGGTGGGGGGCAGGGCTTTGATGCCATGCAAAACGCTGCCCTGGTGCTTTTATTCAACCCACTTACAAAGCTCTCTCTGGAGACCAGCCCAGAGCGTGGACAAGTGGCTGTTTTGCAAATGTGGAGCAGAGGGCGGGCGACAGGCGGACTTCTGATGAGTTTTTATGGATTTTTGGAAACCACACATGACAACCCTGGGGCTGGTTCTCAGAGAAGCCCCAACACAAGCTCATCTCCATTTCCTCACCAAGCCCAGCGGCCCGGAAGACCCAGTGTCCAGGGTAGCACAGCGGCCTCCTCAGCCGCTTCTATCCTCTGGGAGCTTCAGTTCCACCCCAACGACTTCAGCTCTGAAAATGTTACTGAAAGGACAATGGCAAACCCAGAGAAAAAAAATACCCTTTCCCCTCTTCCAACCTCACAACATCCCTGACTGTCTTCCCTGCCCTCTCCCTGGCCCCGAGCTCACCCTGAGCCCCCTCCCTCCCTGTCCTCCCATTCTCCCAGGCCACATAGCAGGAGACAGAGGAATCGTCCATCTGTCTCCTGTTCCCAGGTACCCTTTTCCCACTTGCTCAGACTCGAGGCCCAATTCAGAGATCTTCCCATACAACCAAACGGAGCTGGGGACAGATACACGAGAGGGGAGAGCCTGTGCTTTTCCAGGACCCGCCTGGCCCTTGGCTCACAGGTGCTCAGCGTTGGGGCAGGGCTCACCATCCCACCGCAAGAGGCTCCTGCTTGCTTTTCACAATGTCTGAACCCCTCCCAGCAGTGCTCCATGCTCCCTCACAGTATCTTGGTTATGATGCACCCTTCCCACCCTGGTCCCAGCCTCAGAGAGGACGTTTGACACTCCCTCCAACACACAAGGTTTGACAGACTCTACTTGCTCACTTCTCATGACAGGGAGCTCATTGCCTCTCAGGAAGCCCTCTGCAGTCTCCATCAGCTCCCTTATAGACCTCTTTCTCCCTATCTCTCTCCAGTTGCCTCTCCCAGTCCTGCCTTTTCCCTTCTGAGATTGGCTCCGGAGAAGTCAGCTCCCATGCCCATGTCAGCCCTGTTGTTGTTTGCAAACTTGTGTCATCTCCAGCCGGACCAACTCTCCTTCCTCTGACTGTCCATTGTCACAGAGTGTTTTGCTTCTCATCCTCCTGGTCACCTCATCTTGCCAACACTCCTCTTAAAGTGTCCCCTGCAAACTGTGGAATTGGATCCGTATTGGTGGGTAGAATAAAACCAGCACCCTTTTTCTGCAAATACTTTTTCACCTTTGGTGCAACCAAAGCCTATCATTTGCTTTATTTGATTACTAACCAAGGCCATGGGGGTCCATTTAGAGCCAAGAAGTCCAGTTTGGTATGTGAGCCATTTTCAGGCAGCACATCTTCACCTTAACCCTCTGCTGCTCCATTTCAAACTTACGCAGGGCTTCTTTTCCCTGCGGTATTTCACCTTCTTTGTCTCGACATATTGTCTGGACTTGAGATCATCCTAGACTCTGATTTCATCATGGGTCACACATTCACAGCCCCACCTCCACCCCACCCCAAGCTCCGGGTCATCCGTCGACATGGTTAGGACACTTTACTGCAATGTGCAGTAACAAAAGGTACATCCTTAGAACTGGGTTTGAGTTCTGAACCTTCCACTCAATCTTAGCCACCTTGAGCTTTACTTTTCTCATCTATAGAAAGGGGCTGCGATCCCTACCGGCCAGGAATGTAGTGAGCATTGAATGAGGGAGCGTGTGTAAGTGCCCAGCACAGGGTCTTGCAGACACTCAGTAAAGCGAGTACTTCCTATTGTTCACCCAAGTCGCTGACAAACACGCTGAACTCATCAGAGATGAGGACAGGGCTCCTGGGGGAAGGGAACCACAGAGCCCTGCTAATCCATCACTCGGCGCCCGCCCCTCATGACAGCTGCTCCACCAGATTCCCATCCATAAGGACATCAGGAGGCCTTGTCGAGTGCTGAAGATAAACGTCACCAGCACCACATTTGGTCTCACAGCAATTTTTCAGGGAATGAAGAAACGCAGAACAGACAGACAATCACGTCTCCGGAGGCCAGAGCCCTGAGCTGGGGGCTGGAGAGAAGATAGAGAAAATGAAGACCCGTGAGCTCCCAGGTGAGGGAAGCCAGGGCTGAACCCACAGCCACACTGCAGGCTCATCCTGAATGCCTCCCTGATCACTCTGTGCTGCCTTGAGTGTGAGCCTACAACTCCCAGCCACAGATGGAATGGATTGAGTCAGGATACAGACTTGGGAACTGGCCATTTGGGCCTTCCCCTGGCCTGCTCTGCTCTTCCCATGAGCCCAATGCATAGCTGATGGATTGAAGAAGGGGAGGTGGGGAAGTAAGACTGGGCAGAAACTTTCAGACCAAACTTCTTAGAAAGTGGAGGCTGCTCTTGGGTTTTTCCCTATCTCAAAGTTGGACTACGACAGCCTAGACCTCCTTTCAGCCAAATCATGTGCACCCTGGGTCCAGCCAAGGTCATTCAAGCATGAATTCATCAACCATTTATTAGATCCCTAACCTGCAACAAGCAGTAAAGTGCTCCAAAAGATCATCAGCATCCATCTTGCTAAGGGTTCTAGTTAAGGTAGACGCATGGAGCACAGGGGAAGAGTCATAGAGAAGCATGGTTTACACTCTGCCTCAAAGAGGGGAACCACAAGTGCAAAGCCCCAGAAGCATGTCTGGAGTGCATGGGACATGAGGAAACTGTTGTGGGCAGCAAGACTGTAGAGTTAGATGAGGCCTAGATTGCGGAGTGTCTGAATGCCAGGATATAAGGTTTAGACTTTGTCGTAGAGTAGTAGGAAGCCAGACTTCCCCGGTGGCCCAGACAGTAGAGTATCTGCCTGCAATGCCGGAGACCCAGGTTTGATACCTGGTTCAGGAAGATCCCCTGGAAAAAGGAATGACAACCCGTTCCAATATTCTTGACTGGAGAATTGCATGGACAGAGGAGCTTGGCTGGCTACAGTCCACAGAGTCGGACATGACTGAGTGACTAACACACATACACACACAATGGGAAGCTGAGGAAGATGTTTGATCAGCAGTAAGATGTGATTTCATCAATACATTGGAAGGATCTATCTAGATACGAATAGAGGGAACCCAAGGGGAAAGATTCAGTGTAGAAAGACAAGGTTTCAGGCTAACAAAAGAAAGCCCACAGCTTATCCACTGAACCATAGGCAGGGCTCTATTTAACACTAAAATCCCTGCCAGAATTTTTTTAAAATCTTTATCACTGGCTCCCCTCCTCTGACCCCACAACTTGCTTTTAGATTAACCCTCTGATACCATTTTCTGGAAAATGAATCATGGCCCCAATGAGGATTAACACTTGGGCCCTTCTTGGCTGGTGGGCAGACTCAGAACTTCAAACCCCACTGCAGCTGCCAGACCACATGGTCTGTCGTAAATGAGGCTTTCGATATTCAGGGGATGTGGCAAGCCCTCTTGGAGCAACCCATTGCCTGAGCCTCGCCTTCAGCTGAAGAGATAAGAACCTACAACTGCAGCCACAGGAAATGACAAAGCAGCGACTGATGGGGGATCCACAGCACAGGGCTCATTACAGCGCTTGCCAGCGGGCGAGACACCCTTATCAGGGAGAAAATTGCATCAGGCCTCCTGAATTACTAGCGATTGGAAGCAGATTTCTTGGGACGCACTTTGTTAGATACCTAATGAGCAGGATACAGGCGGGCAGAGCCCAAAGCCAGTAGGGCGGGGGACAAATGTCTTTGTTAAACAGAATTTGTCAGTTTCCGCTTCAGGCTCCCTGGGGAGGGTTCAGGGCCAGCTAATTGAATTAAGAGCCTCTGCGCTCCAGCAAGAAGGTTCTGGGCGGGGCGAGAGGCAGGCAGGCCTCCAGCCGGGCACTTTCAGAACCGAGGACAGCAGCTGCAACCCGGCTAGTCTGTAATTGCCAGGGCAGGTTGGAACTGTTGCATTTTGCATGACCAGGGATCTAGGGGATGAACTGAGTAGGAGGGAGGCAAAAGATGCTAGGAGTAGAGGAGTGGGGGGAAGTGACCCAAGAAGCCTTGAGCCTGTTAATGCTATTGGCCTGGCCTGTCTCAACAGACCCTCCTCTCCAGGCAACAGTGAGGGCTGAGAAGGATAAAGAAGGGGTGTATTCTCCCCACCATGCCTCACGTGGTGTGGGGCAGCTGCAGCAAGACAAGGAGCAGTGGGCTGGGCGCTGAGTCTGAGCCAGTGCACGGCTGTGCATCACTTTGAGCTTTCAAAGTAAGTCTCCCAATTACAGCCCTAATGAAGCAGGACATGCGGTAGCCATGGAGCCACAGAGCGAGGGGCCACTTGTCAGCCCCAAGCTTCCTCTGCAACCAGGGCCGAGCTCACCAATAGAGAAGCAAATAAGCAGGCTTGTGGTGTGAACCGGCAGCCTCCTCCCCCACCTGGAAGAAGGGGGGAGAGCAAGGCAAGGCTGGACCTGAATATGGAAGAGCTAGTCCCCAAAGCCCCACTCTCTTTCCATCCCCATTTTAGCACTGCTCCACCCTGACTCACTGCTACCTGCAGCCTGGCTTCTCCCTGTAGTCTCAGACAAGTTCCATCCCATGAGGAGCAAGGAGAGGAGGGCATGACCCCCTCCCCAAAATGTGGGCAGGTAGTGTTGGCCCTAAAGACAGGGAATGACTGGGGAGAATTTAAGCACCATGGGAGGTTCTGTGGTGGTCCTGGGGCCCCTTACATCAACATGACTAGAACAACTGCCTCTGACCTTCCCTTTGGAGCCTGCGTTATGTGGAAGTGAAAAAGACTTTTCTAGAAAAGTCTCCCACCCGCCTTGCCTCAACCCCCAGGATGGGAGGAATCTTGGCAAAGCTGATGGGGGCAAGGACTGGAAATGTGGGCAGTGGACCTGCAGCAATGGGGGCTGAGGAGGTACTGGCATAAAGCAGCTGTGGAAACAGGTAGAGGCCAGGGCCTGCCACGGAGAGGACAGAGCAGGAACCAAGTCTGGCAGACGCTATAGAAGGAGCTGCTGGGAGTCCACAGGGGCTATGATGGGCAGGATAGGCTGAAGTCCATAAATACCCTGCCTTTCCTTTCCTCCTCCTTGGAACAACCCCTCTGCCCACCAGCAACTGATGGGGTGGTCTGGACTGAAGGGTCTGTTGCATGTTTATTTTGTCTTTGTGATGAAATTAAATGAATTATACATAATACATTTCAGAATCCACATAAAAGTAGTACCTGGTGAGTGTCCAGCCTTGATCAGAGGTACAGTAAGTGTTGGCTCTGGGTCACCAGATTGACCCACCTGGTCCTGGGACCACACAGGGTGGATATCAGGCTGACAGGCTGTGGGGGAAGGGGCTCTCTCAGCAATGTGTCCCTGCTTTCAGAACTGGCGGAGGCATCTCTGGAGACCTCACCCTTGATTTCATTACTTCTACTTCCTCCCCTAACTGGATTAGATGGCAGTCTATGAAATCCAGGGCATCCAGATTGGCTTTCTGCCTGGAAATGAGGAGAAATGTCGTTATAGATCCTGAATCAGCATCTCACCCCAGTCCCAGGGGCCACTCAGTCAATGGGGAGTTGCTCTTTGCCCTGGCTAGCTATTCTTCCCTTCCCTCTCTCCTGCATCCACCCACCCATCCATCCAACCAGTATACATTCTGCTGCTTTTCTGCTACAGCCAGTCTGCTGTTCAGCTGTTCTGAACAGGAGACAGACATGGTGCTTTCTCCTATCTAAAACACACAGGCAACCAGAAAACCCCAAAGCATCTGACTCAGATGCTATACAGAGGGCATGTTCAGTGGGGAGTCTCTGAATGAGTGAAAGTTACTGAGAGGAGCCCATGAGAGAGACAGCCAGGCCTCAAATCCAGGGACAAAACAGCCCCAGAAATCTTGGTTATGAAGTGCAGTCAGCGCCAAAGTCAGCCCCGAGGTCACCCAGTGCTTCACTCTTCCCATCCCCAGAGTCTTCATACAGCACCTTTTTCCTGGTACCCATTTGATGGTGGAGGGAGCGGGGGTGAGGCCTAGACTGAACCAGAATACCTCTGTACTTGTATGAATGTCCCTTAATCTACTGATGCAAGCCTGAAAATGCTTCTTGTTAATGAAGCTATACACACCAAATTTATTTTTTAATATTTATTTATTTGTGTATTTATTCGGCTGCATCGTGTCTTAGTTGGGGGTACCAGATCTTCATTGTAGTGCACAGGCTTCTCTCTAGTTGTGACTCATGGATTCCATAGTGTAGGGACTCAGTAGTCGTGATGCTTGGGCTTAGTCACCCCTCAGTATGTGGGATCTTAGTTCCCAGAACAGGGATCAAACTCTTGTCCCTTGTATTGGAAGGTGGTCCCTCACCACTGGACCACCAGGGAAATCCCCACCAAATTTATTTTTAAAGGTAATGGGCTTCTCTGGTCGCTCAGTGGTAAAAGAATCTGCCTGCCAGTGCAGGAGATGCTGTTCTATCCCTGGATTGAGAAGATCCCCTGGAGAAAGACATGGCAACACACTCCAGTATTCTTGCCTGGAAAATCCCATGGACAGAGGAGCCTGGCGGGCTACATAGTTCATGGGGTCGCAGAGTCAGAACCAACTTAGCGACTGAGCATGCATGTATGCATGCACAATTAATGGGAAGGGTCATTGTCCTAACTCATCTGGTCCATATGTGTGGATTTTCATATAGAGCATCCACTTAAAGAGAGGACCACCTGCGTTCATTCTGTTTTGTTCAGGGTCAGACATTCGGGCATGTCTAACCCTGAGCACATTTATCCTGGTTGGCACTGTGCCCGTTGTTCAATTTGCTTCTAGCACAACACTCCAGACAGTGGAATAATTTGTCCACTGTGTGGCCAAGACAGGATTCCAACAGCTGAAGTAGGGTGGAAGCGGGTCACTGTTGAGGTCCCTACAAACTTCAGACTGACTACATGATTCTTTGAACAGTGGGCACATTTTGAAGGCTAACATGGATTTCCAACAGAGCTTTCAAGTAATCTCTCCCCAAAGAGAGTATGAGACATACCCCTAAGCCCGAGCAACTTAAAGTTTTGCCAGAAAAACAAAAGTGGCAAATAAACCTAGAATTGGAGGAAAGTGTGAGAGCAGAAAGCTTCCCAGTTGGCGCCAGTGGCAAAGAACCCACCTGCCAATGCAGGAGATGTAAGAGATGCAGGTTCCACCCCTGGGTTGGGAAGATCCCCTTGAGGAGGGCACGGCAACCCACTACAGTATTCTTGCCCAGAGAATCCCATGAACTGAGGGGCTTGGTGGGCTATAGTCCATAGCATCGCAAAGAGTTGGACACAACTGAAGCAACTTACCATGCTTGTGAGAGCAGAAAAAGCCAGCTGCTGGACTGGGAGAATCCAGAAAAGCTTCAAGCAAGTGTGGGTGGAGGCCATCAAGGGTTGTTGCTGGTCGCTGCTGTTGTTCAGTCGCTAAGTCATGTCCAACTCTTATCAACCTCATGGACTGCAGCACGCCAGGCTTCCCTGTCCTTCACTGTCTCCCTGAGTTTGCTCCAGACTCATGTCCATTGAGTCAGTCATTCCATCCAACCATCTCATCCTCTGTTACTCCCTTCTCCTCCTGCCCTCAATCTTTCCTAGCATCAGGGTCTTTTCCAATGAATCAGCTCTTTGCTTCAGGTGGCCAAAGTATTGGAGCTTCAGTTTCAGCACTTCCAATGAATATTCAGGTTTGATTTCCTTTAGGATTGACTACTTTGATCTCCTTGCTGTCCAAGGGACTCTCAAGGCTTCCTGGAGGGGTTGGTATTTGAGTGGGGTTAAATTCTGGATAAGCAGAGATGGGAGTAGTAGTCATGCCAAGTGAGGAAGAAGAGAAACAGGAAAAACAACATGGATGGAGAAAGAGGCCCATCAGAGTAGAGAAGATGAGAGGATGAGATGAGGAGATGGAAAGGAAAGCAAGTCAACACAGCAAAGGGTGTCAAAGGAGCAGAGAGATTTTCAAATCTGTTGTTATTGCACCAAGAGTTGGAGCCATAGATGGCACAATTTATTTATTCTTTCAACAAATATTTCTTAGACTTCCCTGGTGGTCCAGTGGCTAAGATTCTGTGCTCCCAATACAGGGGGCTGGGTGTGATCCCTGGTCAGAGAACTAGATCCCACATGCCACAGCTAAAGATCCCAGACTCTGCAGCAAAGATTGAAGATCCCTTGTGCTACGATTGAAGATCCCTTGTGCTCAAACTACCACACAATTGCACTCATCTCACACGCTAGTAAGGTAATGCTCAAAATTCTCCAAACCAGGCTTCAGCAATACATGAACCAAGAACTTCCAGATGCTCAAGCTGGTTTTAGAAAAGGCAGAGGAACCAGAGATCAAATTACCAATATCCGCTGGATCATCAAAAAGCAAGAGAGTTCCAGAAAAACATCTATTTCTGCTTTATTGACTATGCCAAAGCTTTCAACTGTGTGGATTACAATAAACTGTGGAAAATTCTTAAAGAGATGGGAATGCCAGACCACCTGACCTGCCTCTTGAGAAACCTGTATGCAGGTCAGGAAGCAACAGTTAGAACTGGAATTGGAACAATAGACTGGTTCCAAATAGGGAAAGGAGTACATCAAGACTGTAAAATGTCACCGTGCTTATTTAACCTATATGCAGAGTACATCATGAGAAATGCTGGGCTGGAAGAAGCACAAGCTAGAATCAAGATTGCAGGCAGAAATATCAATAACCTCAGATATGCAGATGACACCACCCTTATGGCACAAAGTGAAAAACTAAAAATCCTCTTGATGAAAGTGAAAGAGGAGAATGAAAATGTTGGCTTAAAGCTCAACATTCAGAAAACTAAGATCATGGCATCTGGTCCCATCACTTCATGGCAAATAGATGGGGA